CAGGAGGAGGAGCAGCTTGGGGATGCACTGAGTTCTCTTGGGGGGCAGACTGAGTTTGAGGGAGCTGGGATGCATGCCAGTGGAGCTGAGTCTGGAACTCAGAGGGGAGGTGAGAGCTGCAACCCATCAACAGGAGTGAGGCGGGGCTTCCCAACAGAACCCTGAGGGACCACAACTGGAGCCGGGAGGCCAGAGCAAGAGGATCCCGCGATGGAGACTTTTTGAGAATGATGGGAGAGGCAGGAGGAGAGCCGAGAGAGGGGCAGCAGTTGAGAAGGGCAGGGGGCAGGCTCATAACCGGGCCACACTTGACATCATCTTTATAACGTTAGCAACAGGGGGGCAAGGAGTTCATCTTACTCATTATCCTTTTAAATATATTTTGTTTGATGTTTTATTAGTTTTTTAAAAAAGATGTTTTTAAAAAAACATTTGGAACTAAAATCCTCCTTAGAAGAATCCTCTGTGTCTAGTAATAATTTGCTTGCCAAAAATATTTTTGTAATATCTATTTTTAAAAAATCAAGAAGTAATTAAGTGAAACTATCAACTCTGACATTAGGAGGTTAACGGTTTCAACATTTCCCTGACAAGTGACGTCAGGCCTGGTGGTATGGAGGTTTCCGTGAACACTGCAGGATGGAAGGGACTCTTTTTTATGCCAGTCATGCGCCATGCACATGGAGCACACGGAGGGATGCTCTGCCCTGCATTCTGAGGAGGTGGCTCAGGGCCCTGGAACCTACCCTGGGGCGGGTCCTGCAATGTCCTACCCAGAGGCAGGCTGCCGGCTCCCAACAGCAGCAACAGCTGCTCTCAGGAAGAGAAGCCAGGTCCTAAGACTGTGAAGCATTCATTGGGCAGTGAGACCAGGGCCACACGGTTCCAGAGAGCATCCGCCTGTCCCCAGGTGGGGTTTCCCAACATGTGGCCTCCCAGGAGGAAGGAGAGGGACCACCTACCAGGATGGTAAGGCTGGGCACTATTGTGAAAAAGGCCTGGAGAGCCGGCTCCAGGGCAGCACCGGCCAGTAACCTGGGGCCCCCCTGCCAAGCTGGGTTCTGCTCCCTTGGGTGTGGCCCGCAAGGTGACTTAGGATGCATCTGGGACCAAGGGGAATGCTCGAATGTTTTAGGTCAGAACTTGGAGGGAGCCCCGGGAGCCCAGATACGGAGCTGGCAGGAGCAGGGCTGGCCTGCTGCCTCTTTGCTCTTTCTCTTGCCCAGACTATCAGGCCCCTCTGTCCTTCTCTCCAGACCCAAACACCACCGCTGCCACCTTGCCCTTCACATCTCCCCGAGAGCTAGGGAAGGGCCTCGCTCACAGATACCATCTCAGGTCCGCGTGCAAGGAGCAGGTCTCCAGGGTGTCTTCTCCCCAGCCTAAGACCCCCGTGCTTCATCCTCCACACACCCACTCCGGTATTCTTTTCAGATATTTTCTCCACAACAGCCTGCATAGGAGGCTTATCCTATTTTATCCTATTTTACAGATAAGGAAACTGAAGCTCAAATAGGTTAAGTAACTTGGTCAAGGTCACACAGCATGTCACTAGTGAAGCCAGAAATGCAAAGTCATCTGGCGCCTCTAAGCAGCAGCCCCTCCTAGCCACACCCTCTGAGGGGCCATTAGTCAAAAAGCACCAGCTGTTTATTCCACAATTCTGGACACAGTCTGTTTTGTGAATTTGCATTTGATTTGCATAATGGTGTCGCAAATACATACATATCTTCCCTACACTGCCCTCTCACCCCCACCCCTCCTCACCCCGCCCCCCCACACACACACACAGAGCCAGGTTCTTCCTCCTGGAGACGCCTGGCTGGCTGGGGAGCACCATCTGGTCCCTTCCATCTGCCAAGGACACCTTTCCTGGTTCAGAGTGTTCCTCCCCACCGGCCACTACACCATGCAGCGAGTAGGGGAGCAAATCTGAGGGAAAGGTGCCTGGAGGAGGAGCTGCGTGCATTTCTGCCCGCAGTCTCAGGGCGGGGGCACCTACAGCAAGGATGCAGGGAGGGACAAATGGGGCATTCCCCAGTCCCAGATACCACCTCTGTCTTCTGTCTTCAGCCCCAGATTTAGCTGCCTTTTCACCTCCCACGCCCTCCCTGCTGCCCTCTGGAATGCGGGGAGGCTGGGAGAACTAGGAAGACTGGGATGGGATGGGGAGATTGAAGGGAGGGGGCCCAAAGCTGGAGCCCTCGGAGGGGAACAGGAGAAGAAGATGGCCGTGGACAGGGCATGGGTCCGGTTCCCCTCTTCTTCCTCTCTCAGCCTGCACTGTCCAAAACAGTAGCCACTAGCCACAGGTGGCTATTGAGCCATCAGATTTTGAAGGCTTAATATGAAAAAATAAATATGAAATATCTCATTAATAATTTTTATAGGGCCAGCCCCATGGCTTAGCGGTTAAGTGCGCGCGCTCCACTACTGGCGGCCCGGGTTCGGATCCCGGGCGCGCACCGATGCACTGCTTACCCGGCCATGCTGAGGCCGCGTCCCACACACAGCAACTAGAAGGATGTGCAGCTATGACATACAACTATCTACTGGGGCTTTGGGGAGAAAAAGGAGGGGGATTGGCGATGGATGTTAGCTCAGAGCCGGTCTTCCTCAGCAAAAAAAAAGAGGAGGATTAGCACAGATGTTAGCTCAGGGCTGATCTTCCTCAAAAAAAAAACAAAAATAATTTTTATATTGATTACATACTTAAATGATAATATTTTGGACATATTGGGTTAAACATAAAACTAATTTCACCTGTTTCTCCTTACTTTTTTAATGTGGGTACTAGAAAAATTTAAATATAGTCAGTCCCTGACTTCACGATGGTCCACCTTAGGATTTTTCGACTTTACGATGCTGCCAAAGGATACGCATTCAATAGAAACCATACTTCAGATTTTGAATGTCGATCATTTCCCAGGCTAGCAATATGTGGTACAATCCTCTCTCGTGATGCTGGCCAGCAGCAGGAGCCGCAGCTCCCAGTCAGCCCTGCGATTGTGCTGGTGAACAACCGATACACTGACACCCATTCTGTCCCCAGACAGCCATTCTGTTTTTCACTTTCTGTACAGTATTCAATCCATTACATGAGATATTCAACACTTTATTATAAAATAGGCTGTCTGTGTTAGATGGTTTTGCCCAACTGTAGGCTAATGTGAGTGTTCTGAGCATGTTGGAGGTAGGCCTGGCTAAGCTCTGATGTTCTGTAGCTTAGGTGTATTAGATGCATTTTCGACTTATGATATTTTCAGCTTACAATGGGTTTATTGGGACGTAACCCCATCGTAGGTCTAGAAAGAGCTGTAGTATACGTGGCTTGCATTTTGGCTTGCATTATGTTTCTGTTGGCCAGTGCTGTTCTCAACCCCATCCTCCTGGTCAGGCAGTTGCTGTTCTGTAAAATACTTAGTGCAGGAAGCTGTTTTGAACTAAATGGTTCTTTATTATACCTCAGTTTTTTGGCAATACACACCCCCACCCCCGACCCTCAAAGGGGCAGTACCATGCAGGGTTAAGAGTATGAACTTGATAGAGTTTAAATCCATCCTTATTATTTATAAGCTGTGTCATGTGGGAGATCAAGATTTGGCCACCCTGAAATCTCTCTCTTTACCTTGGTTGTTTTCTCTGAGGACATTTGACCTCCCCCACTAACTGCCTAAAGAATTTGACATGGTAGCTCCTTCCTGGAACAGATCTATCATGATGGCTGTAAAGATAATGTAGGGTAAATGTTACAATAGGAAAGGCACCAACAAGCCCCTCTTATCAGAAGTTCTGTCTCTCTGGCCACATTCTCTGGATGACCCTGCGAAGAGTTGCCAGATAATCATTTACATTTATAAGGGAAATCTCCATTTGTAAAGGTATCTCCCTCTCTGTATTGGGAAAAGTGGGGATGAGCTCATTTCTAGTAACTTGTCAATGTGGAAGGTGAGGCCTTGGGGCTGCACAATAACCTTACTCTTGTTTACTGTGCTTTAGTGGTAATCTCCTGTAACTGACTCCCCCCACCCCCAAAATCCTCCTTTGTCATTGGCTGAACATGGTATTTAAGACGAGAATTTCTGCTATTGTGTTGAGAAACGCAGTGTCCCTGCTTTCTCCCACGTATACATGTTATTAAACTTGGTATTATTTTCTCCTGCTAACCTGTCTCATTAATTATTTGGCCAGCCAGAAGAACCTTAAGGGAAAGGGCAGAGGGAGATTCTCCCTCTTCCCCCGACAGTCACATTAAGCAAATCAATTAAACTCTATATGCTTTGTTTCACATCAGAAAAATGGGAATGATACATGTATTTCAAAAAGGCTTTTGTGAGGATTAAATGAGTTAATATGCATAAAGAACTAAAAAAAAAGAAGTGTCCAGCGCCGGCCCAGTGGCATAGCAGTTAAGTGCGCGCGCTCTGCTTTGGCAGCCCAGGGTTCGCAGGTTCAGATCCCAGGTGCACACCAACGCACCGCTTGTCAAGCCATGCTGTGGCAGCGTCCCATATAAAGTAGAGGAAAATGGGCATGGATGTTAGCCCAGGGCCAATCTTCCTCAGCAAAAAGAGGAGGGTAGGCAGCAGATGTTAGTTCAGGGCTGATCTTCCTCACAAAAACAAAAACAAGAAAATGTGTCCAGCAAAGAGCAATTGCTTGTAATTGCTGCGGAGCTATTATTATCTAAAATGTGGAGCTGCTCCTTGCTACAGTTTCCTGTGTCACAGAACACTACGCCTCTTTGGATGCCTTATTGTATTCACTCCTGCCAATCATCTTATATGGTAACTGTTATCTTCATTTCACAGGGGAGGCACCTGAAACTCACAGAGGTTCAGGAACTCGCCCAAGGCCATACAGCTGGTCGGTGGGATTTGTACCTGGATCTGCTCTACTCCAGAGACTGACCCTTAAGAACCACTCTGTGCTACCTCTCTGGGTAAATCCCACCGAGACCCTCCAAAGTAACACCTCTACCCCATCCTCTCGCTCCAGGTTCCCACCAGCATCAAGGACCTGCCAGTCTGAGAAACTGCCTGTCACAAGGCCATCACCAAGAGGCCACCTGCCCCTGTGTTGCCAGTCCCCAGCATGCAGGAAACCATAACAACACCAACAATGTCAGCCCCCAGCCGGTCCTCAGTCTCCACCCAGGACCGGTCCTCTGCTACAGGCCACGCTTCAAGCACAGACCCGCAGCCCTCAAAGCCCTCAGTGGCCCCACCCCCCGGAAAGTCCAAGGGCCCAAATTCTGGGGCCAGTGTACGTCGGATGCGCAGGATCATCGCTGAGGATGCTGAGTGGTCACTGGCCATTGTGCCCCTCCTCAGAGAGCTCTGCATTCAGCACATCGTCAAGAACTTCCAGAGTGAGTCTGTCTCTGCCTTGGGCCCGAGCGAGTGGGGACTGTCTGGAGGCGAGGCCTCAGAGGCTGGGTCCTAGGGCAGCCCCTGCCCTCCTACACAGCAACTTCATCCTCACTCAACACTTCCTTCCCCCCTGGGGCCAGGACAGTTTCTCCTGCTGCCCCCACTTCCAGGCCCCACCAGACTCCCACCCACACTGTGCCTTCCATGCCTGTGCCTTCTCCTCACCTTTCCCACTCTCTCTAGCCCAAGCCATAGCTATCTCCTCCTCCAGAAAGCCCTCCCTGGTTGACCGCCCTCCACTCTCTTGGAGTCTCCCATGGTGTGTATAGGTTCTTGGTTTGTCCTGTACTCTATGCTCTGTAAATGTTCATCCTTTTCAAAGATGAGTCGCCAGCCTATCTTACTGTAGGCTGGGGCGCTCTCTGAACAGGGCCATCAATTTGTCTACAGCACTTATCACCATCTCCCTACAGTATATTCATGTATATACACACCTACAGTAAGCCTTCCCTCATAAGAGGGAGCAGGTTCTTCCGTTTGGTTCACTCCTGTATCCTCTAAGTGCCAGCACTTAGAATAGTGTCTGGCACATAGTAGGTGCTCAAAATTTTTTTTGTTGTTTTGAGATGAATGAATCAAATCAGATTGGCAGTCTCTGAAGTCAGAGATTGTCTCCTCCTTCAGACTAAGTGATAGTTGAGGGTTGGACCTGAGATTCTTCCTCAGACTGGGTGCTCCCTGAGACCAGATGCTAAGATGTCCACCTTCAGGCAGGAACACCCCAAAGCCAGGGGCTGTGTCTCCTCACTTAGATACTCCCTGAGAGGAAAGGCTATCTCCCCTCTCAGACTGGGGCTCCCTGAGGGCAGGGGAGGGTCTCCCCTTTCTCAGTCCCCCCAGGCAGGCCCAGCCCCGGGCACCATGCTGTGGGGTGTCCCAACACTGTGACTCTTGCTCTCCTTCCTCTGTTCCCGAAGACAACCCTATCCTGAAGCAGCTGCCCCCAGAAGACCAGCAGAAGGTCCTGAACCACCTGTCACCTGACCTGCCACTGGCTGTGACTGCCAACCTGATTGATGATGAGGGCTACTGGAGCCGTTGCTGCATGCAGCGCTGGCCCGTGTGCTACGTGGCCAAGTATGGCGGCAGCTGGAAGCGCATGTTCTTCGAACGGCACCTGGAGAACCTGCTAAAGTACTTCATCCCAGGCACCACGGACCCCGCAGTGATCCTCGACCTGCTGCCGCTCTGCAGGAACTACGTGCGCAGGATCCATGTGGATCAGTTCCTTCCGCCCGTGCAGCTGCTGCCCCGGCCACGGAGTGGGGAACAGTCCGACTCGGGCAGCGAGGGAGAGATGGAGGAGCCTGCCATGGACCACTACCAACTGGGTGACCTGGTGGCTGGCCTGAGCCATCTGGAGGAGCTGGACCTGGTGTACGGTGTCAAGGACTGTGGCATGAACTTTGAGTGGAACCTCTTCCTCTTTACCTACCACGACTGCCACTCCCTGGCGGCCACCATCAAGGCATGCCACACCCTCAAGGTACCATCTGCCCCCAGCTTTCCCTCTCCTCCCGTTCTCAGCCTCTCCCCAATTCCCTCTCCCCTTCTCTTCCTCCATCACCATCTTCTTCCTCCCATTTCCTTCTCATTCACTGACCTTTTGTGCACCTTCTAGGCACCCCGCAACAAGCTGGATTCTAGGGATGCAGAGATGAACTGCCCTCCCAGTTCACCAGCCATTGAGTCATCCAACTAACATCTGCCCTCTAGACCCTGTCCTAGGTGCTGAAGATTCAGCAATGAGCAAAATTATACCATTTGTGCCCTCTGGAGCTGACAGTCTGGTGAGATAAAAGGCACTAATCAGCAATCATATAAATGTAACATTCCACCTAGGATAGCATTGCCAGATTTAGCAAATAAAAATACAGGACATCCAGTAAACCTGAATTTCAGATACACAATGAATAATTTTTTTAGTATAAGTATGTGCCAAATATTCTGGTTGGAAGAGGGAGAGCCTGTCAGAAATCCGAGGAAGAAAAAGGGGACAGGGCATTGTGTCACAGAGCCAAGGGAGGGGTGCATTTCAGGAAGAGGGGGTTAACAGCACAAGGTGGGATGGAGCTATGGACTGGATTTAGCAAACGTGGAGGTCACTGGGGGGAGCTGTCAGTGCGGTGCCAGGAGCAAAGACCAGATCAGAAGCTTATGGAGAGTGGGAAGTGAGGAAATGGAAGGCCTGTGCTCAGCTTTTTCAAGAACTTGGCTGTGAAGGAGGTGAAAGGTAGAGCTGTAATAAGTGACAGGATTGGGTTTCCTTAAGAAGAAACTTGCAAGTATTTAAAACCAATGTAAAGCTCCAACCAATTGCAAGAAAGGGGTTGAGTACAGGAGAGAGGCACAGGTTCATTGACCAGGGAAGGTTCCCGGCAGGGGTGGGCTGTAGGACTGAGGTGGGACAGTTGGCTCTGGGCAGAGGAGAGTGGATGTGGTGGGTAGCGGTGGGTTTGTGTTTGGTATTAGGAAAATGAGGGGTTCCCATTCAATGGCTGGGGAGGCAGGAGGAGACTTAGCTGCTGAAAGGACGCTGTAGGGTGACCCCCTGAAGTTTGAGGAGGCTGGAGAAGGTTAAAATAGTTGTCGTAGATTATGGGAGAGTCTGTCGGCCACAGAAACAGAGTTGAATTGGCATACAGCATTGAGGGCCTACTGGTGGTTCGGTGATACCAACCAGTCCTGTCATGTGACTTTTTCCATCATGTCAGTTGCTTGGGCACAGATATGCAGAAAATAGAGAGCGGGGTTGATCCAGGAGCAAGCCAGTGAGAAAGAAAGGGGTAGTGGCTCCCATCTCCAATATGCATAATGCTAGGCCTACCCCCTTTCTTTTATCTTTTTTCTTCATCCCATCCATTTCCTAGCCAGCCCTGGTGGTCTACTGATTAAGATTTAGCATTCTCACCACCTTGGCCAGGGTTTGTTTCCCAGTTAGGGAACCATAGCACCCGTCTGTCATTGTCATACTGTGGCAGCTGCGTGTTGCTGTGATGCTGAAAGCTATGTCACTGGTATTTCAAATACCAGCAGGGTCACCCATGGTGGACGGTTTTAGTGGAGCTTCCAGACTACGACAGACTAGGAAGAAGGGCCTGGTCACCCACTTCTGAAAAAATTGGCCATGAAAACCCTATGAATAGCAGCAGAGCATTGTCTGATACAGTGCCAGATGGTGAGAGGATGGGGCAAAACGATGGGGGTTCCGCTCTGCTGTACACAGGGTCGTTAGGAGTCCTAGGGGTTAGAATTGACTCAGAAAAATCCATTTCCTGTTTCTCACTCTTCCCACTTTCCCCCCTGTTCTTACTCTGGCAATCTCCTTCAAAGAGGTCCTCTCCTTACCCTGGTGGGTCTTAGCCAGCTGAGGAGGGCGCAGTGAGGGGCTGGGACATCAAACAGATCTGGATTCCAAACCTGCCTCTGCAGCTCAATCACTGTGTGACTCTGGGCAAATGATGTATTCACCCTAGGCCTCTGTTTTCTATCTGTAAAAGGGAGAGAACTCCTCTACCTCACTGGGATGCTGAGGGTTAGAGATAACGGTTGGGAAATGGTCTAGCGGCATGCCAAGCACATAGGAATTTCTTGATAAATACTAGCCTCTCCTCCCTACTACCTGCCACCAATGCTGCACCACTCTGCCATACTAGGGAGGCCTGCCCTGTCCAAAAGCCAGCCAGGTGGCCAACACCAGGTGAGCAGAACCTCAGGCCTCCCTGTGGCTCCCTCCTTTACCTGCAGAAGGCAGGCAGGCAGGCAGATTGTTCCTGGCTGCCAGGTACCGTAGACCCTCTACCTGCCCACAGATCTTCAGGCTGACCCGAAGCAAGGTGGACGACGACAAGGCACGCATCCTAATTCGCAGCCTCCTGGACCACCCAGCCCTAGAGGAGCTGGACCTGTCACACAACCTCATCGGGGACCGTGGCGGGCGTGCCGCCGCCAAGCTGCTGAGCCACAGCCGCCTGCGTGTGCTCAACCTGGCCAACAACCAGGTGCGTGCACCTGGGGCCCAGTCGCTGGCTCACGCCCTGGCACACAACACCAACCTCATTTCCCTCAACCTGCGCCTCAACTGCATTGAGGATGAGGGCGGCCAGGCGCTTGCCCACGCCTTGCAGACCAACAAGTGCCTCACCACGCTGCACCTCGGTGGCAATGAGCTGTCTGAGCCCACCGCCACGCTCCTCTCCCAGGTGCTTGCCATCAACACCACGCTCACCAGCATCAACCTGTCCTGCAACCACATTGGGCTGGTGAGCCACCGCTTCTGGGGCAGGCAGGGCCAAGGAGAGACCTTGGCACCTTGGGGTGGGTGTGGGATCCAAGTGCCCTGGGGTACTTACAGGATAATTGTTAAGATCACAGACTTTACCTTGTTCCAATCCCAGCTCTGCCATTTAGCACTTGGTTAAGTTACTTAATTTTCTGGGGCCTCCATTTCCTCATCTGTAAAATGGGGATAATAATATTATCTACTTTATGTGTTGTTACTGGGAGGATTAAATGAGTTATACTTAACCTTTGCAGGCACTGGCTAGGTTCTCAATAATTGCTAGCTGTCACTGTTACTCAGGGTTATATACTATACTAAGCACCCAATATTCATTAGTCCTCCTTTAATCCTCACAGTTATCTAGTAAAATGTGTATTCTTACCTCCACTTTACAGAGGGAAGATTGAGTCTCAGAGAGGTTAGTGAGTTGCCCAAGAGCATCTAGTCAGTAGAAAGTGGCAGGGCTGTGATTCAAATCCAGGACTGATTGAAAGCCTGGGTCCTTTCCAATAGACAATGCCTCTCAAATTTTCTTGACCAAGTCTCAGAGTAAGAAACGCAACTTACATGAACACGTACATCAATATAATTGAAATTTACTCTTACTGCTTGTGCTATATGCTGATGTTTTCCTTTATAGTCTATCTACTCCATTTTCTTTAATGCTTCTGTAATCCATTAAGTTGACTTTGCAACACACCGTAGCATCACAACTACATAACAGCAGCATTCTACCTCCCACCATGAAATTCCTTCCTACTGGGCATGGCCCACCCAACCCAGAAGGGGCTGGAGCTGTGAGGACGGGCGAGGGGGACCCTCTGTGTGCTCCAGTCAGGGCCCTGCACCCTCTACTAACCCTCCCCAGAGAATAGTCTTGCTCACACACTGTCTCCAGAGGGCATGCTCTTGGCTACAAGTAACAGGAAGCTTAACCAGGAAATGGCATAAACAAGAGGAATATTCATGCTGTTCCTAGTCAGAAGCCCCAGGGTATGGGGTTCTGGGGTTGGTGAATTCCTTGGCTCAGTGCCCTTCTCTCGCCACATGGCCATGGCCTCTCTGGTGCTCCTCTCGTGGTGCCAAGACGGCTGCTACCCCTCACAGAGGGCCATGCTCAGAGGCAGAAAAAAGGAGAACACCCCTCTCGTTTGTTCTTTTTTCAGAGTGAGGAGAACCTTCCCAGAAGTCACTCCCTCCAGACTTCCTCCTCACATCTCATTAGCCAGATTTGTCTCACATGCCCGTGGCTGAACTGGAGGAATGGGATTACCATCGCTGCCACAGAGCCATGTTTTTCAAACCATTGGGGTTGAAAAATCAATTTAGTGAGTTTTGAGCACCATTTTCTTATGGAATAGAATAGACTAGGATAGCATAGAATAGAAAACGCCAGTGTGCTCACAAATAGGTTAAGTATTGTTTTGTGAAACTTTTGTTTCAGTCACATCTATACATAAATATGTGTATGTGTGTGTGATCCTGGGCAGTGATGTAAAATGACCCCTTCCCTTGTACTCCTCTCCCAGGATGGCGGGAAGCAGCTCCTGGAAGGCATGTCAGACAACAGGACCCTCCTGGAGTTTGACTTGCGCCTATCAGACGTATCCCAGGAGAGCGAGTACCTCATTGGCCAGGCCCTCTGTGCCAACCGTGAAGCAGCCCACCAACGGGCCTTGAATCCCAGCCACTTCATGTCGCCAATCACTGCCAAGGGCCCTGAGAACCCTGTGGGATAATATGGGGGACAGGGCTGGGGCAGTGCCCCATCACTCACTTTGTGCGCCTGCCCTGCCTGCTGCAGACTATCCCACTGGTCCAGAGGGAGGGGGAGGAGGAGACCACGAATATGCTGGGGTGAGTGATCAAGGGTTGTGTGGATAAAGATGTGAGGAGGGGGAGGGGACTGGAATAGGGGAAGAAGGGGTATGAAGTGGGACCCAGCCCCCATACACAGGGAGAGGGTATTACTGGACCCCCTGAAATGACCAACTTCCTCCAGGAATAGGGAAAGCAGAGAGGACTCTGAGGGACTGCATCCGCCCAGACTCTCCCACGAGGACCACCCATCTCCCTGACCACCCTCCCTACCATTTTCCTTTCTCCTGAACAGATCCTTAACCTCTTGACCTTCAAACACACACACACTCTCTGTCTCTACACTCTCTCTCCATCCTCTGGCTACAGCAGAGCTTCGCCCGGCTCTTCCACCCTCACCCCTGCAGATGCCACCTCCCTATTACTTGACTCTGTTTAAGTGATCCAGTTCTGCTGGCCATGCCATCCCCTAATCCTCTCTCCCAATCTGGGAAGGGAGAAACAAGGTGACAGGAGGGGCTCAGACCCAGTGGCCCCCCCAAAGAGCTTCCCAGGAGATGGTGGGGGAAGTGCCACACTGGGAAGGGAAGTTGGTGAGTCATCCGCAACTTTATTATCCACCAGTTTGATTTGTACAATCTTTGCGCTTGGAAATCCACGACAGAAAGGCCACAGTGTGATGCACCCAATTGACAGAGACCTGTCTTCTACCCAGCCAGGCCCAGCCCACCCCACAAGCCCTTGTCCCCAGGACACATGGAGCTTTCCAGGTACCCTCCACAAGTCCCCGTCACTCTGCAGCTGCCCACCCTGGGGCCACACTCACAGGAATCACATCAACCCATAGGGCCACGAAGACTGACTAATGGATTCACGCGGAGCCCCATCTTCCATGCTCCTTGCGCTGAGCAGCCCAGAACCTCCAAACCCATGTTTCCAAAGGGTGGGTCATGGGCTGCAACCACAGCCTAGGGGCGCCTGCTATCCAGGGACTCCTTCCAATGAGCAGGCGCTGAGCAGAGCACCAAAGGGGGCTTGGGAGTGACTGCACGTATGTGCCTGTCCGGGCCACCTAGAGTCTGTGTGTGCCTGACACCCTCTGACAGTTCCAGAGTGCTAACGTGTAGGTGTGAGGGTGTGAGTGTGTATGTACATAGCCACAGCTGCTAGCAGAGGTTCTAATTAGAGAAACAAGAACATTCAGTGTAAAGTTTAATTTTAGAGATTAATTAATTTTCTGGTTTTCATTTTTCCCTGGCAATCAATACAGCTATCAAGAAAATAGACCAAAGAAGTGGTTTCTCTCTAAGTCTGTGCGTGTGTGGGAGGTGAGGCTGTCTGTGTGACAAGACCTAGGCAGAAATGGTCAATACAGGCAAAAATAATAATAGGTGCCCCCCTTCCCCTCCTCCCAGCTCAGGCTGTCCCAGGAATGGGCCTGAGGGAGGAGAAGCTGAGTTCCTCCCTCCTTGGAGCCATGAGGTGGCCAGGCTGCCCTCACACAAGGGCATGATCTCCAGGTGCCAGCTGACCAAGAAGAGGGGCCTGAGGCCACAGCTCACCACCTGTACCTCACAGATGTCCATTCAGAGGAAAGAGGGGTGCTCCAAACGCCAGGCCCCTGAGGAGCACAGACTCAGGGTCCAGGCGGGTTCAGTGCTGGCAGGCAGGTGGACACTGCTGCCCAGAAACCTCATAGGCAGCTGTTCCCTCCTGCCCAAACTCCCCTTCTCCGGCCTCCTTTCCCTTCCACTCAGCTATCTCCACATCAAAGTAAAGCTCAACCCCTGATGGCCACAGGCCGTGGTGTCCCCATAATCTGTGCCTCCCAAGTGCCCCCGGGAAGGAGGGCACAGGAGCCAGAGGAGATGTTGCATAGGTGGACGCCACGCCCTCAGTAGATGCAGGCTGGCTAGGCTAGAGGAAGATGGGAGAGGCTGAGGGAAGGAAGAGGAGCTCTGTCGGCTCAGGTGAAGTGAGAAGCATCTGGGCTGAACAATATCTTGGGGGCCCAAGGGTTATCCTCTCCAGCTTGAAATGTGAGCTCAATCCCTGGGTGCTAAGTCTGCTGGGAAAACTTTAGCCAGGGGAGTTGGGAGGGCAGGAGGGTTTTACACAGACATGCACGCGGAAGTACATCAGGGTGGGAGTCATGGGGGAGAGAGGGCGGCATGAGAGCTTTAGAGGAACAGGACGTGGGGCCAGCGCCCTGGGGTGGTGGCAGGATGCCCCTATGAAGACCCTGGGACACACAGCAGGGCTTCAGCTCACAGGATAGGGGAAGACAGAGGAGTCAGGCAAGATTGAGAGAACTCCTGCCTCTGACCCTGCCACTGGAATTGAGTATTCCTCCAGGTGTTGCTTGTGACACCATCCTCTGCCCGGCAGAGGCAATGTGTGGGGACCACCACTCTCCACTCCTCCCCACTAGTCTCGGGGAGGCAAGGGCCGCCCCCCACAGACACCCCCACCTCTGGAGGTCCTTCCACTCTACCCTCCCTGCCCTCTCCTCTTTGACTCCCACCTGTTTCCAGTGTTCCTCGTTGTCACCCAGGTCTGTTTCCCACCCTCCCCACTCAGTCATTCACCTCGGCCAGCTTTAGCGAGTCCTGTCTGGGTGGTATCTCAGCCTCTCTGAAAGGAGTGCCCTCCCAGAACCCAGAGCAGGAGGCTGCTGCCCAGAGGCTGCAGTTTAGAGAAGGGACTGAGTGAGACACACTGCCCTCCACATTTTGCCTCCCCACTCCCGTCTCCCGCTGGTAACAGCTCTTCAGAGCCAGGGAGACGGAGGGAAGGGCGGGGGGGAGTGACGTCTGTGTGGTGAGCACACTCCCTCCAGAAGCCGGACTCCCGGGGCCCAGCGAGATAAACAACAGCGGAGGGAGTGGCAGAAAGGAAACCCCGGTTTTTGGGGCCAGCGCCAAGAAGAGGATAGCAACATTTCCACGGTTTTGAGATGGAGTATCCGGGCTGACACCTGGCCCCGGCCTCAGACCCACTGAATTCATTAGCTGGTTGGAAGCCAGCCCTGCTGTTCAGCAAACCACTGCCCTCTCAGTAAAGAAAGGGCCCAGTGGGGCGAGGCAGGGAGGAAGGAAAGCCCCAATTTCCCTTCCCACGGCCTCTAAACCTCCCCAGCTGCACAGCGAGGACCCCTCACTTGAGACGAGGCCCAACGTGGGTCCCACCGCACAGTCACCACATAACAGTCAGAAGATCCGTTGAAAGGCTGGACGGGAAACTTCAAGTGTGCTGTAGGAAGGGGAGGTGTCCCCTTAGGAACGCAGGAGCGGGGCTGGAAGAGACGACTCCGCCGGGTGGGATGCTCTCAGGGCTGCCCAACCCCACCCTCCTCCATCTATCTCTTTGTGTACAAGGAAGGCGGGGCTCGCGCCCCTATCCGGGCCTGTCCCGCGCACCCTTGCCTCCGCCCACCACGTCCCCCGTCGTGCCCAGCACAGCCTCAGTCAGCATGGCGACTCCCCCTGCTACACGCAGGGAGCACAGTCCTCGAGGGGCAGGGGGAGGCCGGCAGACCCGTCCAGGGGCAGGAGGTCACAGTGAGGTCTCTACGCAGGAGCCGTGGCGGTGCAGCGGCCGGTGGCTGTGGCCCAGACACCCCTCCTGCCGGTGCACGATGAGGACCGGGAAGTAGAGGGCGTCGTGGTAGGGCGGCGGCGGCCCGGCCTCCTCCTCCTCGTCGTCCTCGTCGTCCCCCACGCTGGCCTGGCTCGACAGCCGCGTCTGCTCCGTGGGGCAGCTCGCCTCGTTGACGCTCCCGCTCCGGCTGCGCCACAGGCAGCTGCGCCGCGAGCCGTAGAGGCGGCCGAGCGAGAAGCGGCTGCCCGCGCAGCCCGGCCCTCCGCCGGGCCCCGGGCCGGCCCGCGGGCTGGCACAGATGCTCAGGGCGCTGCGCGAGAAGATGGACGAGCTGCTGACGGCGCGCTGGCAGTGCTCGCAGCTGCGCCGGTATGGGGCCACGCCCGCCACGCCCGGGCCCCCCCCCCCGCCGTAGCGGCACGCCGGCGCGTAGCCGCCGGCCGCGCCCCCCGCGCAGCGCGCCCCCAGCCCCGCCAGGTCCATGAGCACCGCCTCCGAGTAGCTGGGCACCAGCTGCTGGTTGGAGCGGATGTGCCACTCGAGCTCCGTGCTGTCCACCGTGTTGACTCTCGGCAGGCGGTGGGTGAGCGGCGGCAGCAGCTCGTCGCTGGGGCTCAGGCCGCCGCCTGCGCTGCTCGCGGAGCCCGGGCCCTCCAGGCCGAAGAGCTTCTCCACGTGATAGTGCGCGTAGGCCGTGCGGTACTCGGCCAGCACGCGCAGCGGCCACGACAGCGTGAGCAGCGCCGCGGCCCAGAAGGCCGACGAGCAGGCGTACCACGGCGGCCTGGCCGGGTCCGGGAAGGCCACCATGAACTCGCGGAAGTCCACGTTCTTGAGGTGCATGCCCTCGCGCGCCTCCATGTAGTCGTCCAGGCCCTCGTTCTCCGCGAAGAAGCGCGCACGCTGGCACAGGTACGCGTTCTCGGCCTCCACGCTGGCGAAGCTGAAGCACTTGGTGAAGCGCAGCCGCGTGGCTGGCGCGCCCTCCAACCCCACCAGCGCCTTGGACACGTCGCGGACGCCGCAGCGCGCGTAGTCGAACTCGGCCTCTGCCACGTGCGTGTTGACGCGCTCATGGTAGACCTGCGGCGCCGGGGAAGGCGGCGGGAGTCGCTTCTGTCCGCGCGCCCTCGTCTGCCCCATCGCCGCTCTTGTTGCCTGGTCAGACCCTGAGCCCATCCTGGTTGGAGCCGGCTAGGATCTTACCATCTAGTTTATAGAGAACCTGAGGCCCTCAGCCTAATCAGTGAGTTAGAATGAGGGCGGACTAGAACTCATCCGTACCTGTGTGCATTCTAATTTTAATTAAGCCCTGCTTCGTCTGGGGCTCAGACCCTGGCCATGAACTGCCCCTCCTGCTTGCCTGACCCTTTTGCCACTGCCTCCGTTGTCCCACACTACCTCTCGTCACCGCGAACAGCCTGCCCTTCTTCCCTTCCCAAGTGTGTTTCCAGTAGGCCCTCCAGAGGAGCTCCCTGGGAACACCTTCGTCTCTGGTCTCCAGGTCCCCATCTTAGCTATCACCCAGCCTTCTCCCTGATTCTCACGGGCCCCAGGCTTCTGTTTACCCATCCCAATACTGAGACAGAGATTACCCTCATCTGGGAAAATCTCCTCCCCCACCTCCTCCTCCTCCTCCTCCGGAGCCCCAATATGTCTAATGCTGGCGGGTCCAGGAAGTGCTGATTGACAGCCCCCTCCCCCACTCTCCATGGGGCCTCCCATAACTACCTCCACCTTTTTGCCAGCTGACAGGACTTGGGATCCAAGCCCTGGGTTTGAGTCTAGTTCTACCACTTAGCAGCTGAAGACCTTGGGCGAGTCACTGAGCTTAGGTCTCCTTACCTGTGAAAGAGGACTTTGTAGTAGCCACCTCACTGAACAGGTGACAGCATGCTGTGAGACATGCATGTGAAGCCGTCTCCAATCATTAAGCACTAAACAGTATAGATCCTGGAGCCAGACTGCCTGGGTTCAAACCCCAGCTCCACCACATACTAGCTGTTTGACTTTGAGCAAGTTACTTAACCTCTCCAAGCCTCGGTTTCCTCATGTGTAAAATGAGGATAAGTTACCTACTCCATAGTGTTGTTGTGAGGTTTAAATAAATGATTTAAGATTTGTAAAGCACTTGGAGCAGAGCCTGGCTGCTAGTGTTTGCTGTTATTATGGTTGTTATGATTGCCTTCCTGTCGCAGGGCCCACAGGAGCTCATTGCTGCCTGTCTCTGCCTGGGGGCAGTCACGCAGGGTCCCAGCACCCCCTCCCATCTGGACTAGCCTGTGCTCCCTCCCGCCCCTCACCTGGGTGGTGGTGTAGGCGTCTCCGTTGCGATATCGGGTGACCTGGCGGGTGCGGCGGACATAGTGGTAGCTGATGGCCTTCCACCAGATGCAGGGCGTGGCCTGCTGCATGCGGCCCACGCGCTCCCGCACACTGCTCACGTCAACACGGTGCTGCAGCTCATGGCGGGCTTGGCAGTGCCAACACTCCACCAGGTAGACGGCGTACAGCATGAGCAGGAAGGCCAGGGGGATGTAGACATAGCCGTTGGAGCAGGGGCTGTCGTGGTACATGAGGCTGTTGCCCTGGTAGGCGCTGCTGAAGGTGAGGCGGGTCACCGTGGTGACGTGGCACCAGGCCACGGCCCCCAGGCAGCCGTACATGAGCAGTGAGAGCAGCAGGCACTTCCAGTGGGACTCACGGCAGAGGGACTTGGTGAAAGAGGGCTGGATGGGACGCTGCTGCTCAGATGGGCAGGGAAAGGGGCCAAGATGAGTGGGGAGTGAGACAGAAGTGGCAGGACCCAGCACAGAGATGGATGCAGGGATGGAGAGGCAGATGCCAGCACCAGGGAGGACAGGCAGAGACAGACAAGGATGTGGAGAGAAAAGGTAAGACCAGGATGAGAGCCAAGGACCAGAGATAAACACAGAAGTGATCCAGAGTGAGCCATGAGGACAGGAAAAGGGAACAGAATGCCAATACAGGGAAGTGCAGAGAGAGAGTGACAGAGAGGGATCAGAGCCAGAGATGGAGGGAGGAGGCCCAGGTGACAGAGGAGAGACGGATAGGATGGCACCCAGACAAACAGAGTCCAAAGACAGATGCAAAGATGGCAATGAAACAGGAGAAGGTGTGGATGGGGAAGACAGAGGAGGACAGACAGGCATCAGCGAAGGCAGGTCCCCAGCCCGGACCCCTTCCAGGTGTTCCAAGAAAGAAGGGAGGGGCCCACTGACATCATCTTCCCACTTAGGTGGGGCCCTCACTTCCAGATTTTTTCAGTCCTGGGTTCTGGAAGAGCCACTCTTCTCTGACCCGTCCACCTCCCTGTCCCTCACAGCCAGCCTCGTACCTCCTTTGGAAGGAAACCTCAATCCCTGTCTCTTTCCCCCACTTTCTGGACCCCAGGCCCCCTGTGAGTCTCCCTCCTGCACCCTAACATCCTTCTCCTGTTTTAAGACGGGAGGCAGGGGGCTGGGCGCCCGTGAGCAGAAAGCTGTCCAGGAAGAGATATCCAGAAGGGCAGAGGCATGTGGCTGGGGGGAGGGGATGTGGGACAGGGGTAGGGGGGGTAGGGAGGAAGACGTTTGCAGCCCAGCCATTTGTCAAGACAAAATGATTTTTGGTGCTTTCCCGGGGCCTGTTAAAGGACTTGGAACGTTCTGTCCCTTGGTCACCCCGGTGAGTTGTTTACATGTCTGGCACCCCACTAGACTGGGTGCTCCTGAGGGCAGGCCTCATTCTCTTTGCATCCCCTTGCCTACCAGGGTGCTGGCACCGAGCAGTCTCTTAATAGACGAGGACTGAGCTGGATTTCTGGTGGTGGCCTGTGCTTTCCCACTCCTCCCCGCACACGCCCTCCTGCTGAGATCCTGACTTATTCCCTCAATTCCCCAGGCCTGACCTGGAAGCTGGCCAAGGGGAAGGGAGACAAGAGTGGAAAGGCAGAGCACAGTAACAGGCAGCAGGCCTTGGACCTGGTGTGGAGTCAGAGAAAGATCTGGAAGTGCAGATAGGTAGGTGGGCTAGGAGACAGCACACAGCATACACAAACAAGATTAGGGTACACGTGCCTTTCCAGGAGCCCTGTCCTGGGGGGCGGGTGTATATGTGCACCTTCGTGTGCCCACCTGGGTGTGCACTTGTCCCAATGAGAGCACATCTGAACGGGGTTCTACCTGCAGGTCTGTCCCCGCCTGTGTGCTTCTGCCCTAGTGCAGTGTGTGTGTGTGTGCACGAGTGTGCATGGGAGACAGGGTGGGGAAGGTGAGGGGTGCTCTTGGTACTTTCCTCAGTCCCTTTGTCTCCAGGTTCAGAGGACTGAAGAGTAGGGCCCCCAACTAGGTATATGCTTAGTACCAATACTCTGAAGGATTCCTGGGCTCAGGGCCCCCTGCGGGGGCTGCATGGACATTGGAAGAGAGAGGTGCACACCCTCCCCCCACACACACTCCCAGTGACCCCAGGGGGCATCGCCTCTGTACCCATGTGACCTTAAGACCCCAGCTGCGGTAACACCACCATTTCCCCATGCTACTCCCCTGTCTCTGTAGCCCCCATGAGTCGCCCTTCCTGGCCTTCAAGATAGCATCCCCCTCCGCAAGTTAGGATCCCTGCCGCCCTCCCCACCCCCATCCGCCCGGGGTCCGCGAGGCTCCGCCCCTAGGCCCCTCCCCCT